ATACGGAATTTTGATATAGAATCATTAATTACGTATACAAACCTTATAAAAAATGTATCATTTCCTTATTTTGATTTCTTATAGGGCTGTCTCACCTTCAAAAACTCTTTAACTATTATGTTCTCTTTGATAAATTAAAGTTCTACGTCGAGTGGAGGGAGATTTCTTGTTATTTACTCTAACTATAATGAATATGAGCTATTTTGCTGAAAAGAAAATAATGAGATAAATATCTAAATTAATATAGTACTTATATTGATTCCATTCAATCTCTAGTTTTCAGTTCTCAAAAAATATCATATGTATTGCATCCCACCAATACTTTAATAAACTTAAAACATCACAGTAACTTTAAATATTATTCCTTAAATTTTCAACAGGTAAAATGTATTTCATTAAAGGGAAACAAAAACTTACAAAAGGGAAATAGCAATAATTTTGGTAGTGGAAAATTTTTCTTTGAGAAAAAGAAAAAATTTAAAAAGTGATTTTTATATTCAATGAGAAAATTTTAAACGATGTGGGATTATTGATATCTATTAACTGATGATGATTATCAAACAAGAAATTTGTAAAACATAATAAACCTTATTTATGGATCGATAAAAATAGAAAAATTTTAAAATCATTACAAATGTAATATTCAAGTTCAATTTGGTATATGCACATTCAAAGTATAAAAAAAAAATTTTTTTATTTTATGTAAAATTTATATGTTATTTCAAATACTTTAATAACCAATTTTTTAAAAAATTATAAAATAAATCATTTTAAACAGCATGGGAAAATTTTCTTATAAACAAAGACCATTGGTATCTATTGGTTGTAGAATATGATAAATCTTATTTATGGATTGATAAATATGATTAAATATATGGTCAATGACTTATTTTTGTGACTTTTTTACATGATATATTTAATGATTATATAATTAATAAATTGTAAAGTAATTCATTATTTTAGTTAAAGTATATTTTTATTTAATATTTAAAAAAAATTTAAATAGATAATTTAAAAAAAACTATTGTCAAGATCTATAAGAAATAGAAAATTAGCATCTGAAAATAAAAAAGAGAAAATTCAAAACCAAGTTTATTTATTATATACCTTCTTTTGAGAAAATTAGATAAACTTCAATTGGATAAAAAGAAGTATATTCAGCTGGAAGATTATCAATTTTCTCCAATATTTTCTCAAATTCAGAATCAACACAATTTTGAAATCTAAAAAAAGTTTGAGTAGATAGATGATTTGATAGCAAACTAGTTAGTTATAAAAACTAAGTATGCCTACAACTATCTGAATTACTGCTAATATGTAAAACCAAAGTGAAAATATACATCAGTATTACGACATGCCGCCCATACTACGTGAAAATACACGTCAGATAATAAATGTGCCGCTCATAAACATTAGAATCACATATTACTATAAGTAAATTAGATATCTACTAGAATATGTATACCTCTTTTTACGATGTCTTATTCTTCTTTGTAATTTTCTCCTTTGACGAACATTTTTAGATTGGCAAGAGTTGACGCATATCATCTTTTATTAAAGTTTAAAAAATTTTGGATTCTGAAAATATAAGATATTTAAAGGATCTTGAACCAACAACATGTTTGTGAGAAAATTTTTGTGTTTCAGGAGTAAACGTGAGGAAAACAAATCTTCTGCATCAACAGAAAGGAAAATTTCTTCAATTGGAAATATCTTATTGTCAAGAATACATTGAAAATTATTTGTGTCTGTGAAATTGGGTCTAACAAAACTGTCACTAATTAAAATTCAAGGGGTTGACTGATCATGCTTATTTCACTAATAAATCTCGTTTATGAATTGATAAACATGATGATCAAAATAGAAAAAATCTTAGAATTATCACAAATGTAAATTCAAGCTTGATTTGGTATCTGTATATTTAAAGTACAAGAAAAAAATTTTTGGTTTGCATAATCTGTTTATCAAAGATTTTTTCTTATGTTAAATTACTTATATATACACATTCTTTTCTTACATATCTTACATAAAAAGTTTCAATATTACTTGCATTAAAAAATTCAATTGAATGTATAATATTGTTATTTTAGTTATTTTTATTTTTGTTATTTTTTTCATTTTACGTAAAATTTATACGTTATTCAAATTCCTTAATAATTCTGTATACATTAATTTTTTAAAAAATAATTCATTTTAAACAACATAAAAAATTTTCTTCTGTAGAAAAATAAACAAAGGACTATTGGTATTTATTAGTTGATGACGATTATAAATTTATAAAAACATGTTAAATCTTGTTTATGGATCGATAAACATGATAAAGTGAGTTAATCTATTGAACAAAAAGATGTAATAAATCTTTAGAATTATCACAAGCTAAAAATTTTTTTGATTTGAATATTGTTATTTTTTATTTTTTTATTTTACGTAAAATTTATACGTTATTTTAAATTCCTTAATAATTCCGTATACATCAATTTTCTAAAAAATTATAAAAAAATAAATCATTATAAAACATATGGAATTTTGATATAGAATCATTAATTACGTATACAAACTTTATAAAAACATATTATTTCCTTATTTCGATTTCTTATAGGGTACCCTATGACTTGGCACCCAAGTACAATTCGTAGTATGATGTAAATGACAATATTATTCATCCAAAAAACTTCTGTCTAGTTAGAACTTTGTTTCTTTCTTGTAAGTTTCAAACTGATATCATAAATAACGGTTACGAAAGGTAACATTTGCTAACGATTCATGCAATATATTTCGATATTCACTAAGATCATAATAATATCCCAATGTATGAAGTATACAAAGTAATTGCCATTTTGATAATTTGTGGCCATTTTCTTCAAGCTTTTATCATAATGTTTGTCAAAAGTGAAATACCAGAAGTGTTTGCAGACATAATAAAACTTTGTAAAGGTTCAGGAATGTTATGATCAAGCTTATTTTTTAACCAACCCATAGTTTTTTGTGTTTGAAATTCTCCATTTTTTTTATTTTGTTCAGCAACTACACGCACAACTGTAGCCTCCCTAATATCAAGAACCGCAGCAACCTCCTTGTATAATGATAGGTCATGATGTTGCTTCTGGTATTATCGAACATTTAAAAAAGTGTTGATGGACATTAAAAATCATCTTTCGTTCATTGTCAATTAACGGACCTTCGTCTCTAGTCAAGTCATCCATGAGAAAAAAAGTTCAAGTTTATAAGCTATTTAAACTTTGAACACGACCCTTCATATCTTTGTATACCTCGTATACCAGACTTTTTGCACCGGACCATACTATATTAATGCATTTAAACCACACGATTGTTGCAGCAAAGAGCTGAACCTTGGAGTGAGAGTTGGGTAAGAACAGCATGAGTGGGGCATAGCATGCTTACCTTTTAATAAGCCAATTTTCTGGTAGTCTCACGATAGAGTTGGGTAGAATGTGAGGGAGGAGTATAGATGTTTACATTTGTACCAATCAGCTTCTGCTGCAACAAGCGAAGATATATTCAATAAAAATAATTATAAAGATGAAATCAAAGTTAAAGCTTATTTTAAAAAAATAAATTGACTATTTCTAATGGTTCATTGTAGTAAATAATTGTGCTTTTCGATGGTATTAAAAATAAAAATTCGATCAATCGTAATTAAAATATCTTAACGAGTTATCCAACCTATTGTTTTTTTATGATCAAGGTGAAATTCTTTAAAAAAAAAAAAAAAAAAAAAATAACAGAATTAACAAAGAATCAACTTTTATGTATGGGAAAATAAACCCTAACTCATTCATCAATAATAATAGCTCGTCTCAACATGCGAAGTAATAACTTCGGTGTTTAATCAAAGCCTTTTTTTATTGCGATCGTGGCTTATCGATCTAACCAAGTTAATTTGAGGCTTTATTATACCAAATATAGTTTACCGATTTATTTTGAATCTTAACCAACTGCTATAGTTAATAGCCGTTTGTTTTATTTGAAAAATAATAAAAAGGTCTGAAAAAAAAAATATTTTTCATTAATGCTTATTTCATATATAATTCACGGAATGCTTCAAGATAAATATATTTTTTTATGATTTCCATATAACTAATTTTCAAGACAAATATAATGGTGGTAGTAACACCTGAAAAACCGAAATCTTCACTTAATTATATCGATTCTGAGAAAACAAATTTAAGTAAAGATTCGATTGTTGAAGAACCAACAGTTACTGCGGTAATTTTTTTTTTTTTTGAAATGCGTTTATTAAAGTTCTTGATTCATAGATTTCTTCATTTAGGCTGTTTTTACAAAAGATGATCCAAATCTACCATGTTTGACATTTAGATTTTGGGTTATGAGTACGGTGAGTTTATTTTTCCATGTTTTCACCTTATCTAGACGAATTATTCTAATTATTCTTGTTTAGTTTTTCACCTCGCTTGGCGCAGCAATATCACAATTCTACTATTTCCGTCCAAATATTGGATATTTTTCCATCTTTTTTGTGGTACTTGTATCAAATTATATTGGAAAATGGATGGCAGCTTTACTTCCGACGAGGAAATTTCGAATTTGGCGATGGGAATTCAGTTTTAATCCAGGTAGTAATGTAATATATTTAAGTTCGATTGAAGAAATGTCGATGAAACAAATTTATTCAATTGGCATGTTCTTGTCCAACAACAGGTCCGTTCAATATCAAAGAGCACGTTTGTATAACAGTAGCTGCAAGTACTGGAGGTGTATCAGCTTATGCTACTGTACGTATCGATTATGAGTTTATTTATATATAATATGAACATTACATTAACCTATTGTTATGTAATAGGACATCATTGCCATTCAAGAACTTTTCTATCACCAGACAATCAACTTTGTTACAGGTTTCCTATTGCTTATGAGTACTCAAATTTTGGGATATGGACTCGCAGGATTTCTTAGAAAATGTGAGACTTATTTAATGGAATCAATGACAGAAAGAAAAATTCAACTTTACATATATATATATACATTTTTTTTTGTTTTGACACTACACAGACCTAGTTCGTCCAGCAAACATGATTTGGCCGTCTAACCTTGTATTCGCATCCATGTTCAATACGCTTCACGGCAATTTGTCCGAAACACGTGACAAGCTTCGATTTTTTTCTGTCGCGTTCTCCTTTATGTTCGTTTGGCAATTTGTGCCGCAGTACATGTTTACTTGGCTGACAAGTATGGCTCTATTATGTCTGATAGCTCCATACGATAGGTTAATAAATAGGTTAGGAAGCGGTTATCATGGTGTAGGACTTTTAAATTTTTCATTAGATTGGAATGCGATTGGTCAAGTTGGACCGTTATTTACTCCATGGTAAAAAATAACTTACAGAAATGTTTTGATATTTAACGTTAATTTATTCACCATATTATAAATTTTTTGTTTTAAGGTGGGCCCAAGTGAATTACTTTTTTGGTGCAATTGTTGGTGCATGGATCATTGCTCCACTTTTATACTATGCCAACGTCTTGTAGGTTTAAATCTTCATTAAAAATTTAAGAAATTTTAATATTGATTTATAATTTTAAGCGTTTTCTTTATTATAGTGAAGCACAGAAATTTCCATTTATAGCTAGATATTCTTTGGATAAATATGGACAAAAGTAAGCGGTTTATGGTTCGATATACGATGTTTGATAATTAAGGAACTCATCATGATTTCCTTTCTTACAGATATAATCAATCGGCAATCATCGACGAAGAAACTGGATCCTTAAACATCACGGCTTATGAGAATTATAGTCCAGTATATTTATCAGTTACCTTTGCCTTTTCCTATCTATATTCCTTCATATCGATTACTTCAGCTGTTAGTCACGTATTCTTGTTTTATGGCAAAGAAATTTGGAAAAGGTTCAAAGCTAGTCGAGAAGAAGAAGAAGAAGATATTCATTGTAAGATGATGAGAATTTATCCAGGTATAATTCAAACTTATTAATGGATTAAAAAAAAAATTTGTGCAAAATTGAATATATTTTTCTTTAGAAATTCCAAATACGTGGTACGCTATAATCTTTATTGTTATGTTAATAATTGCCATCATCCTTGGATATAAAACGGATGCGAATTTACCGTGGTGGGGGCTGCTTTTAGCTGTTGGATTAGCAGCAGTCATGGTGCTTCCTATAGGTAAATTTTCTTAAAAACAGATATCTTTGTTTTTTTTTCACTACGTATTTATTGTAATTTTTCTAGGTGTAATTCAAGCTATCTCCTTTAATCAAGTTGGATTGAATGTGATTTCTGAAATGATTTGTGGTTATATCCTTCCTGGCCGTCCTATAGCCAATGTTTACTTTAAATGTTATGGTTTCATGACAATGAGTCAATGTCTTCTCCTTGTTTCCGATCTTAAACTTGGTATTTTATTTATATGATGAGTTTATCATTATGACATACTCTTATTTTATGAATAACAAATCTATATTATTTATTTAAAGGTCATTATATGAAAATTCCTCCACGTTCTATGTTCGTTTCTCAAATGTACGGTACAGTCATTGGAGGCCTTATAAATTATTGGGTTTTAAAGCTTATTATTATATCAAAACGACCATATCTTGATGGAACAATGGATGACCCAACCGGTCAAGTAAGTATTGTTTGATATTTCAAAATTTTCTTTGGACTCGAGTTAAAAATTAATTGCACGTGTTTTCTTTTTGAAAATAACAGTGGACAGGATTTAGATCACAAGTCTTTAATACGGCATCAATAGTGTGGGGTTTGATTGGACCGGCAAGAACGTTTGGCGTAAGAAACATGATATTTTTGATACTCCCTAACAAATACCGCACTTATAATTTTCTCAATATTTTATTTAGTCTGGTTCTATATATAACCCACTTTTATGGGGATTTGTGATTGGGTTCGTCGCACCAGTTCCGTTTTATTTATTACATCGAAAATTCCCAAAACTTAGACTGGATTTAGTAAATATACCATTAATTTGTACTGGATTGCAATTACTTCCTGAAAACTACACAAACTTTATCATTTCGGGAATTTTTGTAAGTTTTATGAGTCAATTCTATGCCTATAGATACAATCGTCGGTAAGTTATATGTTACGAATATGTTATTATTGTGAATTAGTTCCTATAATGTTTAATATAAATTTATTTATTTATTTCAACATGTTTAGATGGTGGGAAAAGTAAGCATTTTTGATAACTTTATGTCATGAAGTAGTACGTTAATTACGATTCGCTTCTAACACTTTTGTCTTTTTTCTTTAGGTATAATTACGTGCTTTCTGCTGCATTTGCTAGCGCAGCACAAATTGTAACGATGATTATTTTCTTTTTTCTTAATGGTGTTATTATGGTGAGAAATAATTGATTACATCTATAAAAGGTTTTCTGTTTACGTATATCTAATTATATGAATTTAATCTACAATAGAAACCGTTTCCGGAATGGTGGGGGAATAATCATGAAACTCAAGGCGAAAGATGTTTTGCTCAAGATAAATAAAAAATATTAATTTAATGTAATTTAGAAATGAACCGAAGGCCTTGTGCCTCGGTTCTCATAAACTTCGACCGATATAAAACAGTTTATGTCGGTTTTTTATAAATAAATTATTTGTGTTTTAAGTTATATATCTAGTGTTCGAATCCCTTAATAATTTCCTTCATACATAAAGAAACGGATTATTTGAGCTTTAATATCGATTTATCGGGTATAGGGATCACAAATGATTGTGAACAAATTTAGAAATTATGAGTTATAAAAAGTCTAATCTATATAAGTAACTCTTGATAAAAATCGACAATTTTCATGGGATTCCCGCCAGTAAAATAAAAGTCTTCTCTAAAACTGGCAAATTTATAGGACCGTTTAGGACCGTTTAACATCCCTAACATCCCTAATCGGGTAAAAAAAGAGATTCGTGATTTGATTGATACATTTTGATTGGCTATTCTAACGGGATTTTAACGGTTAATTATCCGATTCGGAATTAACGGGTAATTAACCGATTTGTCGTAGTGTAACAGTATTTTCAAAATATAAAGGACCAAATTTTGATCGAAGTTCTCATTTACAGTTTAACCTTTTCCCCCCTTTCGACACGTTCGACACGCAAGCGATCTAACCATGACTTCATTGAAATTATTTGATAGATTGTCAGAAGACGTAGGAAAATTAGTAGAAAAAGGAGAGAATTATGATATGATTATACAAGTAGGAGAGAAAGATGTAAAAGAATTTAAAGCACATTCTTTGATTATAAGCGCGAGATCATTATATTTTAAATCTGCTTTAAATAATAATTGGACTACAATAAAAGATGGTAGATTTTTTTTTAAAAAACCAAACATTTCACCAAAAATTTTTCAACTTATTTTAAAGTATGTGAATATGTGAATACTGTACTACTTTGTCGTTTTTATTATAAATTGTTACTAATAAAGATTCACGCCTTCGGGTTTAGATATCTATACACGGGAGTAGTTGATTTTCAAGGTCAAGAGTTGAATCAAATATTTGAATTAATGATCGCGGCAGACGAATTACTTCTCGAAGAGTTGACAGATCAAATCCAAGAATATCTCATTAAACACAAACCTTTGCAAATTCAACGAAATATAGTTCTAGTCCTTCATACAGTGTTTGGACACGATGTAGTTGTATTCCAAAAATTACAGGATTATAGCCTGAAAATTATAAGTAGCGATCCGGAAATTATATTCGAATCAGATGATTTTGTTACATTAAAGAAACATATCCTTATGGAATTGTTGGAACGAGATGATTTAGAAATTGAAGAAATTAGAATTTGGGAATATTTAATAGAATGGGGAATTGCTCATACGCCGCCGTGTCTTTCTAACGTGGAGTTATCAAATTGGACAACAACAGAATTTGATGCTATAGAAAATACTTTACATGATTGTCTACAATTAATTAGATATTTTCAAATGTCATCGGATGACATTTATAGAAAAGTCTTTCCTTATAAAAAAATTTTATCCAAACAATTAAAACGAGACATAGTGGCATATTTTATGTTATCGGATTATCGACCAAAATCCTTACTTTTACCTCCAAGATATAGTCCAAATACCGGACTTGAATCATTATTAATAACAATTGAATGTTGCTCTCTATTGGAGAATTGGATTAAAAATGCAAAGAAACAAAATATTGCGAAAAGATTATCTTTTAATTGGAAATTATTATATAGAGCAAGCAGAGATGGATTTGATGCTCGATCTTTTCATAAGAAATGTGACAATCAAGGTGCATGTGTCGTTGTTGCAAAAGTCGGTGGAAGCAATAATGAACGTATCGTGGGAGGATATAATCCTATAGGATGGACCGAACATGTTGGTCAATATATTGCGGCTTCTGAAGCTTTTCTTTTTTACATTGAGAATAAGGATTTGGCTAATGCTAAACTTAGTAGAATCCTTCCTCATCGGTCTTCCAAAGCTGTTTTTTATGACACGTCCTGTGGACCCAATTTCGGAGCGCCCGATTTACGAATTTCCAACAATTGTAATAAAAACACTTTAAGCTTTTTTAGTACCACAAATTTTTACGAAAACTCTGTTTCGATCGGTAATTTCAGTGTAATTGATTATGAGGTGTTCCAATTTATTAAAAAGGAACGATAAAAATCAAATTGAACGTAAAAATTTGATGGAAATTTTTTTTTTTTACTGATAGCTGTAAAAAAACCACTTTTATAAATCAAATTTTGGAAGGAGTAACCTTTTTTTTTTTTTTTTCTCTTACCTAACTTGTTTCTTCGTCCTTTATATCAATAAAAGTATTTCCCCGAAATTTAACCCAACAATAAATATTTTCTGAATTCAATGATATTCCTAAAGTCGGTATATTAACGACATTCTCATTTTCATGTAAAATGCCATTTAAAGAAATCCAATCCGACTTTTTAATAACCACAGGAATATTATGTCTTGCAATATGAGGTACTTTTCTTTTATATTTTTCAATTATGTTTTTATAAATAACATTATCTACATTTATTTGATCCTCCTTATTTTCTTCAGATATATTGTAAATATCTTTATCATGTAATCTTCTTATATAATATCGTGGCGGGGAAGGAATTATTTCCTGATGTATTTGCTTTTTGCATAATTCTGTTTGATGTGAAATGAGATTTAATCCTATAAAAAATCTATTATCCCATAATATCACTTGGCCATCTTGAATGTTTATAACATTTCTTGTTTCTTCTAACGATGTGAATGGTTGTCTACTGAATGTCCAAAGGTTATAAGAACCATTTTCAAAGGTATCTGAATCATGAATATGAACTTTTTTACAACACAATAAAACCTTATTTAATGTGATATTGTGATTATATGATGATAAAATATGATTATAAAATTTTAGCGTAGATTCTAATCTCGGAGGATGTTCGGAACATCTAACAAATCTTATTATTCTGCTAATAATCCTTGTAGCCAAATATTTTTTTAAAATCCAATGGGAAGAAGGAATTGGATTCGGTAAAGATAGTGAACAAATTCCATTATCTTTATCGAAATCAATTTTCGAAGATTCTTTATTCCTTATGATTTCATTCACTATAATTTTTTTTTTTTTTATTTATTTATTAATTTTTTTTTTTTTGTTTTACTGTAAATGAAGAAATTAGAATTGCTTACCTTGTGAATTTATAAAATCCTTGTGATCTTTCATGTGATTCATGAACCTTGATAATCCCATTGTGGACAATGGTTCATATTCTCTTATTCCTTCAATGAGATATCTTTTATTTAATTTATCTAATGAAAATCTTACAATATTTCTTTTATGATCCGTAGATTGATTTGAAGGATCCTCTATCCATGGTATACTTGCTTCAACACAAGTTTTTATTAATCTATCCTAAAAGCAAACAATGTGATAAAATTTTTTTTTTTATATAAAAATTCATTTTAATAATAAAATCTCACCTTTGTAACAGATAATAAAGGTCTAACTATTTGTATTCCAATGGCTTCAACGTTTCTTATAACAGGAAATTTATCAATCATTGAAATTGAAGCTAATCCATCAATTCCACTTCCTCTTGATAATCTCATGATTAAGGTTTCTAATTGATCATTTAAATGATGTCCTACAAACAATGAAGAAATTTTATTCTCATGACAACCTTTTGCTAATAATTTATATCTCTCAATCCTAGCAAATGTTTCGTATTGAGATTTGGTTGGAAATGGAGAATTGAAATCATTCAAATTTGAATTGGAAGTATTATCTTGACCTTTCCATTGAATTCTCATTATTTTATTATCGATTTCTTGATGATTAAAAAAAAAAAATTTATCGAATCATAGTTTTGAAAAACAAAAAAAGGTATTTTTTTTTGTTTTGTTGATTTTGACACTTACCCAACTTTGATAAAGTATTAGAAACTTGAAATGACTCATTTGTACTCTCTCTTCTTAATCGATGATCTATGATAAATGCCGTAATTTGATGTTCCGATATTTTACAATATTGGTTTAATAAATAACATAATGCCATGCTATCCGCCCCTCCTGATACGGCGACTCCTAAAGAGAGGAGAGGTAAGTTTGAAAAGAAAGCAATCATCGTTTTAACGGATGATAAGATTCGGTACCTAATCTTTCTTTATATTTTAGATTAAATCTACTCATAATTCTTGCAAATTCTTTTTCAGAGATTGATAATATTGGAATCATGCTTTTTAAATTCGATATGGGGGAAAAAAAAGCGAGAAACTTTTGAAAATTTTATGTAAATATGTAATTAATTTTCCGGATCTCGGCGAAGTGCGCAACTGAATTTATCGAATCACAAAGTTTTCGAAATGGCAACAAAAAATCGAATATGTTTTTATGTTTTTTTTTATTTATTTTTTTTTTTTAAATGCTATATCTATATTTTTTGATGACGCCCTTCATTTTATATTCTTTAAGCAAGTTAAGTAACTCATTACAGATATTTATTTCCTCATCATTAATGTTTTCAACCTCATCCCAATTAATATATTCACCAACCAATTTCACGGGAGATAACCATAAAGGCTTTCTTCCTTGCCACTTTTTAAAAAACAAATCCAAGGCATCTATGGTAAATTCTAAACTATTCCCGATATGGATTTTATATAAGCTAATGGGGGACGAATTAATTATAATGTCTAATAATTGATTACTATCGATCTTATTATGTTCTTCAAAATAAGGATCTATGATAATTCTCTCCAAGTTTTGACAATTGATCAACAATTTTTCGAATTCAAATAGATCTTGAGCATTAGTAAGGAGGATGTGAACATCTTTAAGGTTTGGACACTTTTGACAAATTGTTTGAATCAACTTTCCCGAAAAAAATTTATCAGATAAATTGTAATAGGATAATTTAATCTTCCAAAGATTTCCATCAGTTTTTTCAATAATCTTTATGGTGGTTTGTAATGATATGGAGAATAAGTCTAAGATTTGAAGATTAGAAAATTTTGAAATTGACAATTGATTCTCTATGAAATTTGAAACGTAAAACTTTTGTAATGATAATAATTGTAAATTAATTAATTTTGGTAAAAAGTTAATAATGAAATCATTCTCCCACATGATATTTGAATTTAAGTAAAGAAGGGTGATGGCATGTTTGTCCAAGGCCTGACCCAACCTTTCATATTTATGTTTATTATTATCATTTCTAACATACCTTTCGAATTCACCATTTTCTTTATAAAAATCATTTTCATATTGTAAATTAAGTTGTAGGTATTTTATCCTCTGTTGCTTTTCGATCAAGATGGCAAGTCCGGGATTGTCACCTGATAACGTTATGTTAAACTTCTCTATGAATCTACAAATTTGAGCCAACCCGTAAAATATCATTGGATCGATATTTGAGGTGCAATGTAACTCATAAAGTTTTGATAGACTTGTCATCACTCCAGGGAATTGATGGATTTGGATCTTCATCTTGTCATTAATGTTTAGGTAATCGAATCTCACGCATTTATTAATAAAAAGGTTAAGGATTTCCTTCTCCAATAATAACCTCTGATAATAATTACCATTGTATATCTCATGAATGTACACGTAAATCAATTGATGTTCAATGGAATTGCAAAACCCAATGTAATTAAATGAGAGTTTTCGTGGTTTCGTGATTATATCGATCCCATCCTTTCTTAATATGTTTATTGATTCTTGTGATAAATGTGAAAGAATGATGTTAAAGAATAATGTCATCTTCTCGATGAAATGTTCATGATTGTTGTTATCCTTCTCCTTCTTTAAGAGTTTCCAAGGATTCTTCCATAAAATCGGGAGCGCCGTTTCATGCCAAAGTTTATTTACCAGAATACAAGAATGTAAAGAATCATCATCATCTAATTCTTTTATTATCAATATAAGGCAATCCTTGTTTAGTTTCAACATCTTTTTTTTTTTTTTTTTCCTTCACGATTTTTTTTTTTATTTTATTTATTTAATAATAAAGTATTAGGATTTAAGGTTTGAATAATGTGATGAACGAAAAAAGGGAGGGAGAGAAATTAAATTTTAAAAATAGGAATAGATTTTCATCCACTTATTTATGTGCCAAGTCACGTGGTACTAAGTGTCATGCCATACGGTGCGATACGTTTTACAGTTAGCACAAACAGAGTTTTTTTACCTTAAAATATAAAAAAAAAACCTGTTGCTTTGATTTTATCCTGGTGTGAAATTGTGAGTATCATTCCTTGGAGCAAAAGCATATAAATGAAATTCGAAACCTTTTGAGAGGCTACCGAGTTTTATAATGCCATCAATCTTCCAATCCATTCACCTTTATTTTTAAATGAAAAGAAAAGAAGAAAAAGAGGAAAAGGAACGGCATTAAAATCAAACCTATTCACCTTATATACCTTTATGCATTTGGCATTATGCCATATATAGGAAGGGAAGCAAATCTTTTACAAAATATAAACAAACAATTTCGATAAACTTGAATACCAATCGTCGTATCACATGTGCTTGCAAATTAAAATCCAAGTTTTCAAATAGGTAATCCATTTTAATTTAATGCTAATGATCATTTTTGACACCGTAATTTCAAATGTCAAATGTTGATGCTTTCTCGATAATTTACCTTTTTATTTTTATTTTTTATTTTTTTTTTTGTTTCCTTTTGCGTTGTTGACAAATTACTTGATTATGGGTTGTTCAACGAACATGTTTTTAAAAATAAAAACATGCTCAACCTTGTGAAGTCATTTGTTTATTCAACTTCTATAGTCAGTGTTGGACATATAAACTTATGTCCAATTGGACATCATATCTATAGCCGTCCATTAAGATTGGAACTCCCTCTTACCTTTAAAAACTCCTCGTAACTGTAAATCTCACCAAATTCGTACCCGTCTGCGATGCAATGTACGCGTATTTTTACGCGTATTTATTTGTTTATCCCTATTCGATATTTTTTTTTTATTTGAAAAAAACTTTTAAGAGACGGTATATAAAACCCACCATACCATGTCGATAAATCAGACCAACAAGAATTTGTGATCGAATTTTAATTAGCACATGAAGTTTCGTTTAACAGGTTCTGATAATTAAAAACACGTGACAAGCCACAAAGTCACGCGTTTTAAAACGAATTTGGTTTTCGTTCGGAAAAGAAAGTTTCGCTAATAACTGCATTCGGCAAAAGTAAAACCTAACCACTTACTTCATCGTTCCCAAACTTTTTGAAGAAACGAATCTAGATTATCATGGAAAGTTGAACTTTATGAGATTTGGCGTGTTGATGGTAAAATAAGGTTATATGCAGGGGAACGTTTTATATTCCTTTTCAAAGTATTTTTGTCAGCACTAAGCAAGTTTAGATAATAAAGTTTTGCTAAAATTTCAAGATTTTTCTATTAAATGAAACCTTTTTGAGACCTTAAAAAAAAAAATTTTCTAGTTCTAAAACTTCTTTATGAAACAAGTAAACAAATAAATGAGAGATGTCATGGATGTAATACAGCCATTGTCATTTAGCCAATCACGTATAAACCTTTGTCACAATGAGTTTGGTTTTACCATGAGCTCATGAAAAAATTTCCGCAAAAAAGGTTCTCGCAGTAGGTTAGACTACTAGATGATGCATATCAGATATTAAAAAAAAAATCACCTGAGATCATTTAATTTAAGCAACTAATTTTTTTTGGGATATCTAATTAAGGACTTCAGGTTTCCTACCCATTTCATCCATCCTTTTATATGGATCCTACATTCTATAAATAAAAACAAACAATATAAATAAATATAAATATATATGTTATATAATACAGTATATATATATATATTTGCTTCAGACAAAACACAAAACTCAATAACGAAAGGGGAGTTTTATTATTTCATTTTAATAATTGTTGTAACAAAAAAAAAATCAATTTATGTTCAAGGTTTGTACACAGACGACCTAATAATCAATTCGGCGTTTTAATTGATGGTTGTCTAAAATGATGCAGAATATGCATATTATTCTCTCCCCCCCTAAAAATTCACAGGTCAATCCTACCTCTTTCCTCGTGTGTGTTACATTACATAAATTAATCAAATAAGGAAATCATCTATTAGCATGACAAGTTGCGACAAATTTTTATAAATACAGAATGTATCATTTTTTTCAATCTCTTTTCAAACGTCTCTTTTTTTAAATTAACGAATCCAATCAAATAAGATCACCTTCAATAATAATAATTATAATAAAAAGATCTCAATTATTTTTTATATAAAAACTCTTAGCTTTTTATGTCTCATACAATAAATCCCTCCTTTCATATTCCATAACTATTTTTTTTTATTATTACATTTTTTTTTTTTCCTCTTTTTTGTTTATCTTTATGTACATATAAGTTTTATTAAATAGTAAAAAGGAAAATAGTTCCAAAATTATCCCAAACATATATGCAAGGAAATTCTCCCCGGTCGGAAAATTTACAAGAGTTGGTCAAAGATTATAAAGCAACAGCTGCCTCTCAAGAAAATATGGAAGTTGCCTCCTCCATCTCAACGACCGTCATCCCCGAAACCTTGCGTACTACCCTTACTAAATTTCTCGAGAATGAACTTGAAGTTGAAACAAGTGATGATTTTATTCAGAAAGAAATCGTTGATATTGGGCAGGATACCAATGACCAAATTGATTCTTCTGAAAAAACATTTGAATTCGAGAAAAAAAAACCTCTCTCCATAAAAGTTGCTCCTAATGCTCTTCCTATTAACGATCAATGTATTACAGAAACTTTGGTTACCCCAACTCAGGCTAACCCTGGATTTTCATTTAATGACGAAAATACTATAAATTTGTTACATAGAAGGCCAGGTGCCCCTGCTCAATTGAATCTGGTGGTAAAGCAGCAGCAAAAACAGCAAAAGCAAAAGCAACAGCAACAAAAGTATGACTCGCCAAAAAATCAAATCTCAAGAACTGTGGTGACCGCAGATGTTTCTCCATCTCCTTTACTGTCGCCGAAAATTATTGAATTGCGTCGTTCGGAATCTTTTCATAACAAATCCACTTCCAATGATGAATCCGCGGTAATTTCTACGTCATCTTCGATCGTTAAACTTTCACTTCTACCTCCCACGACTATTCCACCATCTGCGCAAAAATGTCAAATTGCAAGAGATTATGTCTTGAAATCATCATCCGCTTTTGGAGCGTTTCCTAAAAGTGAACTTGATAAAGATTTGCTCGCGAGATTAGAACAAGAGAATTCTCAATTACCACCACAGGTAAACTTTTCATTCGTGTCACACTACGTCACGTATACGGTGACGTCACGATGAAAATTCATCATGACTAATACGACTCTCATGTATTTTTAGAACTCCACGGAATTTTTGCTCGCACGTCTCGAACGTCAAAATAATATTTTGGATAATGATCCGAAATCAGTGTGCATTCAATCGAACGTTCTCAAAGCTAATCTCGAAACGGTGCAATCATTAATTGATGATATTAACGCAAGTCCCACAAGCGAAAATGAAAATGACATTACCGATTTGATTCCAATCCTTAACGAAAATGAAAATGATGCTGATGATGCTTCAAAAACTATCGACTGGGATTTCTGGTCCGCTTTGATTCAGGACTATTCATCGGTGGCTACGAAATTACCTCATCTCCTTTCCGCGAAATTACAGCAAGGTCTACCTCCAAAATTGAGAGGTTTGGTTTGGCAATCAATGTGTCAAGCTTCTTCTACTTACTTGGAAACAATGTATTCTCAATTATTATCCGAATCCTCTCCATATGAAAGGATCATAGAACGTGATCTTGCAAGAACTTTCCCTCATATTGAAATGTTTAAAGAAGAAAATGGTAAAGGTCAAACCATGTTGTGGAATGTATTGAAAGCGTACTCTTTGTATGATAATTTGGTTGGATATTGTCAAGGTCTTGGATTCTTGGTGGGACCTCTTTTGATGAATGTGAGTCATTGTTATTATTTTATTTGTGTTTAAAAAAAAAAAATTTCATGTGACATATATTTGCATTTCTTTATCAGATGAGCGAGGCACAGGCATTTTGTGTATTTGTTCGGTAAGGGAGAAAACAAAAAAAAAAATTTTTTTTTAATGTATACCGTGTAATAAAAGAGAATGAAATTCTAATTCCACTATTTGCTCATTAGGTTGATGGAAACTTATGATATGCGAACGATGTTTACATTAAATATGGAGGGACTTCAACTTCGACTTCATCAATTTTCTGCTCTTCTCTCGCAGATTCTTCCAAAGCTTAGCGCACATTTTCAACATCATGTGGTACATGCGGCAATGTTTGCTTCACAATGGTTTTTATCATTATTCGCTTATACGTATCCATTACCTTTGGTCCTTCGGATTTATGACGTGGTGTTTGCAGAAGGGGCGCCCGAAACAATCATGCGCGTAGCCATCGCGTTGCTAAAGAAGAATGAAGCGAATTTACTTGAGATCGGTGAATTTGAAGACTTATTGGAATTTCTTTCATCGAGACTTTATGAAGCATATGATAATGAACCAACTGGTTTAATCAAGGATGCAATGGGCCTGAGTAACGTGATTACCAAAGCAAAATTGGATCAGTTGGCTACAAATTACGTTCAAGATTTGGAGGAACAAAAGAAGCGTGCGGAAAAATTGGCGGCGATCCGGTTCAAGGAAAGACTCTCTCAAGAAGAGAAAAAGAAGGAAGCAAAACGAAATAATAAACCGAACAAACCAAAACGTTGGTCATTTACAGCACTTCCGATTTCGAGACAATCCGTTGCTTCAGCATCATCGTTAAATAATGTATCCAGTGAACTTTCATCTTCCGACGATGAAAATACGGCACCACCGCCCATGACAGTCGCGTTTGCACCCGACAAAATGAATTCCGGACTGTTGCATCAACAAATCGAAGATTTGGTTGCAGCATTGTCCCAACTTCAAAAGGAACACGCGGATGTTACCGAACAATTGGTCATTGTAAAAATGGAAAAGATGGATTTGGTCACGGAATTGGAAGACGTAAAGAAAAATGCACGTGGACTAGAGAAGGAAAATAAACGAATGTCATCGTTATCAATGTGTTCCTTTGATCCTAACGACTATGCTGTAGGGGAAGGTGCCATGTCATCAAGGAGGGCTTCAACCTCACATTCCTTGGGAATTGCAAACCAATTGCCCGAAGACCATGATGTAACACCAAGACCCTCAACGGAAGTTGGAATTAACCATCTTTATAAGAGAAGAACATCTGATTCAGATGTATTGAGAAGACCACGACGTGGTTCGGTAACAAGCTTCATGTCAATGCCAAGATTATCCTCAACGTCATCATCTATGTCATCCATCCAGTCAGCTAATACTTCACCAACATTTTTATCTACGCCGAATACCTCGGAATTTGATGAAATCGAATTGAACGAGGAACAAAATAAAAACGGAACGCAAATCGATTCTGCATTAGTGGACGAACTAATACAAGTCAAGATGGAGAAATTAGATTTAATGCAAGTAAACGATGAACTTCATAAGAGGATTAATGAATTGGAAAACACCTTGAAAAATTCACAAATTGCAAATGAATTGTTACAAGAGAAAAATCTATTCTTGAGAGAAGAAATGGAAAGGTTAGATGATGAAGCGGCACACGCGGTTTATGAACAAAATTCAATGGAACAACAAGTCAAAGAAGTCAAGGAATTGAAATCACAAAATGGAAAGTTAGTTAAAGAAAATGAAAAGTTTAAGAAGGAAATGGAAGCGTTAAAATCAAGGATTGCTATATTGGAAGAATCAATAGCAACAGAATTCGATGATGAAATTTATTACGACAATAATGATGTATTGCTTGATGATGATAGCAGCATAAGAAGCGGAAGAAGTTCATTTTTGAATTTCTTTACAGGAAATACATTTAGAAGAGGAAGCGAAGCGGCAAAATCCACATCATCATCAGTACAAGAAGATGGATTTGACATAATATCGCAATGTAGCGTAGCGTGCGTTTCGGCCAAAAGAGTTGATGAATTAGAACATATGTTAGCGGATGTTAAATTACGGTTGGCGGAAAGTGAAGAAGCGAGAGAAGTTATTTATACTCAGATGGAAGGATTAAGAACGTTGGTAAATGGAGAAACTGAAAGACCAAAATCGCCTAATATCGGTGCAATTGTTCCAAAGAGTAAACAAGATAAACGTATAAGTTCGATGTCTTTATCATCGTTTTTCAGTGGTTCATAATTTTTATTTTTTTTATTTTTATTTCTATTTTTATTTTCACAGTTCATCACCTCTCTTTTAAATTTTACAAATGCATTTAAATCATATTCCTTTCATAGATCGATTCTTAATTTTTTTACCCCTGTACTATTTTGTATTTTTGATGTAGATATAACTTAAATTAATTACGTTTTAAAACATTATTTATTGTATTTATTTTGTCTGATTATATTATTTCTTTAAACTCTGAATTAAAAAAAAATGTATTGATTTAGAATATTCATTTTGTAGCTATAATTAAAATCCGAGATATTTTCTCGATTAAAAAAAAATAGCACGTCTACGTCGACTTGAATAAAATAATCTTCAAATTAGAATACAATGCACTATAAAGAAGAAAATTCCCTATTTAGATTACTTCGAAATGGTCAAAATTGTTAAGTGTTTTTATTTAATACTTGTCACTAAAAGATAAAGGAAAAGTTGATTATGGAATTACATGAAATTACATGAATTGTTTGATCCCATTGTTTGCATTTATAATGTACCAAAGTAGTAAGACAATCAATAAAGCGAGAAAGATCGTATGATTCCGTCGACCAATGCAGGAAATGCCCCGGTCGGTGGCTACTTATAAATCAAAATGGAGATCATTATGTAATATTAGTATAATGAACGACGCAATTACTGTAATTCATGGCGTTGATGTTAAAAAAAATCGCGTTTGATAAAAAGTTATATTTGATTAATATCGATCCTCACGTGTACAGTCTCTATGCCTCGCTAAAATCGTAAAATCGGAACAAGTTGAACAAGTTTTGAAACGGGATGATCAAATAAAATCAAGAATCACGTCAGAAACCATATTTATATTGTAATAATTTAATTAAGAGGGGAGATTGTTATTTTCCCTCTTTTTTTTAAAAAATACCAAATCATTATTTTTCCTTTTAAGGAGAAAAATAACATTCTCGCTGACATCATGATTGTTCACTATTTAATGATCAGACTAACCTAACCCATTTTCTTTATAAAAATAAAAAATTTTTTTTATTCCATCTGTTTCGAAAAGGTTCTAAATAATTGGATTTTCTTTTCCTCGTTTTCCCCAAAAGTAAGGAATATATAAAATAATTAACAATCAACCTCACAATTTGTAACGTAATGATTTCCAAATAAAGGAAGACGAAAAATCAATCATTCATATGGGCATAACGGAATCTAAGTGTCCAACCTCATCCGAATAAAGCATGAGCTTTGACTCAGTACCATCATGCTTTTTTTGGGTCAGGTAATCCAAACAACTGCTGTAGGTTATAAGTGGGCGGCAAGATAAACCCTAGATAAAGTGGTTAGTTCACTTATTCAAGGAATGAAACGCGCACAAAATAAACGCAACATTTCCTTTTTATCCTACGAGATGATCATATGATATCAAAAAAAAAACGAGCCTATTTTTTTTTTTCCTTGTAATACAACTACAACAGATGTTGAAATGACGAAGAAATGTTTTTTCTTTGCAATTATCATTAAATCACGATTAAGAGTTTTTACATAACATTTCTTCACGATGAAATGTTTTTTTTTAATAAAGATTTGGAAAAGTGTGGTAAATGTCTTAATTTTGAATGACGAGAAGGGAATTCCTTTTGGAATCAAATGACAGAAAATAACTTCGAATTGATTTTTTTATTTCTATTAGACTTGAAATGTTTTTTAATTTATTTAAATATTTTTTTTTTGAATAATAATGAACAGGATTTCTTGACCCTGCATCATGTCATGCAAAGATATTTCGATTTTCGAATTAGTTTAAAAAAAAAAAGGTGCCTTCTTAAAGACCCACTGATTTGTTTATTAATAATTACACAAACCAACTAAAGTTAAGGTTTTATTAAAGTTTGAACTTGTTACAAGTAGGTTTTTTTTATGAACAAGTAATATTTAATTCAATCAAAATTTATTTCATTCATGTGTCATAACAAGTTGTTCAAACGAGTTTTTTATTTAAGGGGGGAAATAAATAATTTATTAAACGTGAGAAAAATATTTAAGGCGGGAAGTTGAGAAGAAAGGATGGGTTTTATCAACCAGTTGAAAAACGATGAAATGAAATTTTTTTTCATATTCATAAGGAAACGGGCTTTTTTTTGTTGAGTTCCTGCCCGAAAAATAAGAATCGACTTACCTTTTACAAGATCGGTAAAAATATATATATATATATATATGTATAGAGTAGAGTATAAAAAAAAAAAACAAAAATCCCCAATCATTCTACCTACTACTTAACCAAAATAATCCACAATTTGAAAAAAAAGATAACCTTCTTCTTTTGTGCGATGGTAGCAATCTTTTTCCATTTTTCACGAGCTTTAAAAAAAAAAAAAAAAGAAAAAAAAAAGAAAAAGGAGATGCCACCCTTACAGTTTAGGAGATTTTCTACGGGTAAATTTCCCCAGCTTCAATATTTTCCATTATTGTAAAAAAAGTATCCCTATTTTCAGTGGTAGAAAATGTTAGTCTTATTACGTCTAGTCTCATGGAAGAGCTAGTACCAATATGGATTAGTCATGAGAGTAAAAAGCCGTCGAGAAAAACTTTTTGGTTTAATGAATTGCTTTTCAAGGTAACTCAATAAATTTCATTTTCTAGTTTTCATTTGTGATAACCAAGTGAATGCCCAAGAAGAGAAATTATTCAGTGCATAACAGCGCATTCATTACACATTTAAGAAGCGACACAACATTTGAAATGATCAAAAGGTGAACATAAAAAAAAAAAAAATCGTGAGAACAACAAAGATGAAAATTTTTTTTCACATTTTCAAATTTGGCTTAGCACAAAAAAAAAAAAGAACGTGTCCCCCCAAAAGGTATTCACTATGTTAAATTAAACAAATAATAAGGTTTCCTTGAGTGAGATAAGAGATTGTTTGTGTGTATCTTTCATTCATCAAATGAAACCCACTTGATCAAAAAAGTACATTTAATGGAACCAGGAATCATGACCTCAGAAAATTTATATGTTTTTTTTAATTGTAAACAATCAATCATGAACACATTTTTTTTATTAGAAACCATAAAAAAGAAGTTTCTTTCTTTCTACAAATACTTTTAATTGTTGTACTTGTTAAGTCAAAGAGTATGTTGAAATTGTAAGATATGGGCAAGATTGGCAAATTATTTATGAACACACAATTTTACAATTAAAGTTATTTAAAATACCAAAATAAAAAAAAAAATTTTAAAGTTTTAGCGAATAATAAGAAGCCGATAAAGTGTGTGATAAGTGGTCAATTCCTGATAAATGATAAGAGATTCGTTGATATCAACAGAATATTATAAAAGCCATCTTTTGTATTTAGGTTAATTTTGGTAAGAATCACTTTAGGTCATAAGTCACATATCCAAGTCAATCATTTATCTCCATTATTGAAGGTCAGAAAAAGCAAGGAACTTCGGATCATATCATTTGGAAGAGAGCATTGAGAGATTTTTATTTTATTTTAATTTTTTTATTTTCATATAAAAGTAATTTATTATTAATAAACAAAAATACTAGTATAAAGTTATTACAATATAATTTGGACATAGTGGGGAAAAATAAATGGTGTGAAAAAAGAAGAAAAAAATATGTAAAATGTGAATCGTAAAAAAAAATTAATTTATTTACAGGGAGAGGAACTCAACAAAGAAAAATAAAATAATATATCTACATAGAAGAAAAAAAAAATATATACCTTTTTTTTTACATATTAAAACTCCTTTTCGGGAGGAGGTTTTTGTTAAAAAAAAAATGCGAATAATATTGTAAAATATACCTAATTAGAGGATTGAAGAAATTTTTTTTTGTTTTTTTTTTTGTTTTTTTTTTGGTTTTTTTGGTTTTTTTTTTTGTTTTTGTTGGTTATGATTGTTTGTTATAATTGTTATAATAATTGTTACATATGAAAAAATGATGTCGTAGTATGCGTAATGCTATTGCTGTGCTGTATTATTATTATTATTATATTATTATTACATAACGGACACGATTCGGCACTTTTAGCTTTTTTCTGAACGGCCGTATCATAACTGTTCCTCCCTGAGTTATTATCTTTTTTTATTATTATTATTTTTTTTTTTGTTTTATAATTGAACGTTATTATGCTTTATCATATTTATCCTCGTTGTGTTATGCGTGCGTTTTATGTGTTAGTTTGTCGTCTTCACCGTTAATTAGTTTTCGTTGTTTCGGTTGTTTCGTTTCGTTGTTGTTGTACGGTATTGTATTATACTTTTTTAGTACATGAGAATTTACCAACGAGCCCAACCCACATAGCCTGCTTTAATCTTTTCATCAATCAAATTCTCGACAAACTGTTTGGCATCACCAAAACAGTAATGTTTTTGAATGTGGGTTGCCCTTTCCTTGAGGGTGCCATCAGCACGGATGTTTCCATAGCGAACGTAGGTGGTGAGACCTTCTTCAACCTTAAATTGCCAAAATCTGGTGGAAGTTTCGAGATGACCCGATGGAATGGGTGATATGATTCCACTTTTATTATCTTGACTTTCGAATGTAATGTCTGGGATGATGACATTAGTATAAATTGGACAAGGTTTTGATTTAAGAAGGCGGGAAGATTTTTTGGTTTCAAGGGAAAAATCTGTCGGTTCGATAAGTGCTGCAGACATTACGTTGAATTTTGAGGAAGGGGTAGTTGATTTTTTATCAAAGGTAGGCATGTTTGCAAGATGTATAAAAGAAAATTTTTTTTTTCGAAAAATGAAGAAAAGGTAAAAAGTCGTATTATTTTTTTTTTTTTGGAAAGTGAGAAAAAAGGTGAAAAATATTTTTGTTCGTTAACGTTTTTGTTTTATCGTTAGCTATTTGGGGAATAATAAAAATTTTTTTTTTATTAAATTGATTCCGAATCAAACATTCGAAAAGAAAACCAAATGGAGTCCTTTTATAACTTTTTTTGCTTTATTCAATCCACCCCCTTAAAAAAAAAAAAACTACCAAATTTATTTATAATCCAATTGTAGTTGTATTGTGTTCTGTATTATAATATAAAAAATATTGTATATGTAAAGTAAAAACTCTATATAAATAAATACTGAAAAGGTAAGGATCTGTAAACTGCGCGCTTTAAAGCAATAAAGCAATAAAGCAATTTTTTTTTTCTTTTCCTTTTTTTTTTTCATCTTTTTACCCATTTTTCCCACCGTAAAAAAATTTTTTTTTTTGTGCGGCGGGAAAAATCAATTATTGTTTTAGTCCATATATTAAATAAACAGTTCACATAGTTTTTTTTTTTTCTTCTTTAAAAATATATACATCAAAAAAAAAATTTTTAAATTAGCATATGAAAATATATACGTACAATGGGTTGCTGGGCGCAGAAATAAAGTGGTTTGATATGACTCATAATATATGACATTCTAATAAATGATTCACTTGACTTCCGCAATCAGACGACTTTTTTGTTTACGTAACATGCAAATAAACAAATCGGAATAAATCGAGCGGGAATGGGAAAAGCGAATCACTGATTACCTCTAAAAAAAAAAAAAAAAAAGTTCGTTTACACATATTTGTTATCAACTGCGCCAAAACATACTTCTTGGAAGAAAAACCCCGTAATCCTTGTTGAAACAATCGTTTCTCTAATTCCTAAAGAATGATATCATAGATCATTCATTTCTTATTTCTTTATTCGGTACGGTAATCAACGTAATGGTTTCAAAATAACAGATTCGTCGGTTTTTATTGTTTGATCGACCATTAAAATGGATTTCACGGGATTGATTTTAATATTACAGAATTAACTATTTAATTATTATTAATTATTTACAACATAATCTTTATTTATTCACCTAAACATCTTTTCTATTAAAAAAAAAAAATAATCTAATCTACGGTAGAGATTTTCCACAGGAATTGCCAAGAATTAATTGTTGTGTTCGCATTTCACAAATAAAAAAAATTCTCAGGAATCATTCCCCACCTTATTTGTCATACTTTTTAATTTTGCCATGTTTTTTTTTTTCCTTCGTTTTCTATTAGACTTTTTATTTTTTCTTTGGGGTAAATATCCCATTTAATCAAAAATGTCAGATTTTCTTGTGTAAAAATAAACAAGCTAATTTCTGTAAAACCTTTCAACGAACAAAAGGCAAACAATGTCAGAGACAATAAAAGCTGCAACCTATCTACTAGGAAAAGATTTATTAAAATTTCCCACTTATTTGTTTAATGGTTAGTGAAGTTTTACAAACAAGGGTGGTTTGTTTAATGTTGGTGATTTTGACAGCTTCATTTGTAAAGTTACCCAGTCCAAAATCATTACTAAACAATTTATTTACCCCACATTTTATTATTTTATTTTTAACCTCAATGAAAACAATAGATAACTTTACTTTTTTTTTACGTTTAAGTTGTATGCAAAAATATTTTGAAGTGTGGGTGATACAAACTGATAACTTTAAAAAAGAAAAAATATTTTCTTTAAATCAATAACAAAAAAAAAATACGCCTCTTTCAAAACAAGCGTTTTTGTTTAACCTTTTCCTCAAAATTTCGCGGGCCCTTTATTTATTGTCATCTGGGTCACTAACCCTTTTCATTTACCCTTTAGTAATCCAAAATCTTTCAAACTTTAATGAAAGTTGAACATTTACAATGCGAGGTTTGGAAGATATTGTTATTCGACAGTGTGTTTTTTGCTACAGAATTAGTTGTATTACAAAAAAAACGGGCCACATGCGTGCATTTTGGCTAACCAACATGGGTATATAAGGATTGCAGATCTGGCGGAATGATCTTTACGCGTATATCACGTGTTTTCTCGCATGAACTTCTCGCAATATCAAGCGCGTCTTTTCCGATGCCGGCTTGGCGTATCTTCGTGACGAAATGATGATGCCGTCGATTAATAATCCATACATAGAGAGAATTGGGAATTGGAGTTGTTTTGGAGATGGCTTAAGGGGTAACGGTTTTTTTTAGATCTGCAATAGTTCATTTAGTGTATATTCATACTAATTTAGTGGCCTGGCTAAATGGAATGTTAGCCCGTAATGTCACGGTGGCTAACGTTATCGTTATTCCCTGGGCGTAAACCTTTTGACAATATATTTCCTTAGGGAGCGTTTATCGAACATAGTAAATATTGTGTATTGATGAATTCAGGAACAATTTCCCATTGTTGGGATTGCTTTTAGGGGTTTGTTTATCGCTCGTCATAACAGATCATAAAACGTAAAATCTTTCATTAATCTTTCGCTGAGAAATTCCGACTTCCATTTTTAATCATTATGAAGAAAATCAAGAAAATCTCAATTCCTCTTGGATTAAAACCTGTAAAGAAACTGGAAGACCACCTAATTGAAAAAATTATGATAAAATCATGATAAAATTCCCTTTGTGAGAGGTCGAACGAAACAATAACCGTGAGAATAAAGTAATTAATTCGTTACAAGCACCAATCACACGAAAGAAGATTTCAGGTTTTTAAAAAAAATATATATATATTTATTTATTTATTTATTTTAACGTCGCGCGAGAAATTTTGCCTTGAATCAAGTTTTTTGTTGAAGATTACAAGTCATAAATTAATAATTCAATCTGTTAAGATGTTTTCAATCTATTGCGCGAAGGTATCATTTTAACCAAACATCAGCAAAAAAAATTTGTTTCACAAAAAATCAACTTATATAGCCACTTTGGCTATTGTTGACAAGTTTATCCCTGCAGTAACTTGGTAAAATATGTTTAATTTGTTTCTTAATTTAGAATTACCGTATTGTAACTTGTTTATTTGTAATACGAATTTAACGGGTCATTGAGGTCCTCACACATTCATTGAACATGACCCTTCACATGACACGATTGATCTCTTGCATATTATTCGTAAATTCATTTAAGAAAGAAAACAACCCTTCAATCAGGTTGAAATGGTGAGTGAATGCCTGACATGTGTAACTGAAAAGGACTCGGTACCTTTCCACAATGATCTCTGTATTGTTATTATAGTGGTGTGACTAGTTGCGCTTGGATTATTTTTTTGTCTAGTCCAAGAAGAGCTTTAGATCTCTTTGTGCATGTAAATGTATAGAGATTTTTTTTTTGTGTTTGTGTGTATGCGCGCGCAAAGCTCGCGATTTACCGTGCTTTTTTTTTCATATCAAATATATCAACCAAATATTGTTCTCGCCCATGCGATAACTACGGTAATTCAGTACTTGCCTGCATTCTAAAAGCAAAGAATAGAGCATGTTAAAAGTGTACCATAAAGAGCAAAGGCATATGTGGCATGTACCTTGGAATCTTTGCCCAACCTACCTTTTTCTTTATGGTGTCAAGCAAAAGCAATAAATTTTTTTTTACCCCACAACAAAAATAAAATAAAAAAAACAAAAAACAAAAAAATATAGGAAGCACAAAAAATTTCGGATTATTTGGTAACAATAAGAAAGAATTTCTTTTTAAAAAAAAAAAAAATACAAAAAATACAAAAGGGTAAAATAAAAGTAAAGTAAAATATAAAATAAATAAATAAATAAAAAAAAAAAAGGGTTGTTTGAGGAAAATCCGTCTCACATTACTACAACCTTTGACGTTTCCACGAGGAATTTCATTATTTGTTTCAGTTATTTACCAGGCCAGGATTTTTTTGTCAAAAAAAAACTTTATTTTTAGTCATCCTAACCATTTTCATCCAACATTCTAAAATGTTTGTTTACTAAATAAGTGGTATGATTAGGATAAGGAATTTATTTTTTTTTTCTTTCATTGTTTGATTTTTCCATTATGAAAATTATTGGTATATGCAGTTATTTGCATTGATCCTTTTTTTTTTTTTTTTAAGCTCAGGTTTTTTTTTTAGAGTCGAGACCCTGAACACGGTACATTCTTATTTCTTCAATTAGTTTAGTCCAATAAATAAATGATCGATGTGGTTTATATTAATTAGGAAATTAATGTAAGTTGCGCAATTTGACGATTTACTAAGTATAATTAATAATAACAACAAAAGGAAATATGGAAAGGAATATAAATCAAAGTTACTTTTTAATGTATGGGTAACCCGTTTCACCATCAAGCAGAGAAGTGATTATCGAGATGAAGATGGCACAGAAAGAAGGGAAAGCATCTATAAAAAAAAAGTGGAGTGCAGTCTTGCTGCGCCATTCACATCAAAATTAAAATAAATAAAATAATAATATTTAATAAATAAATAAATAAATAAAATAATGCCTGCACAATTTAAATGGTTCAATATAAACCATCAATTTTCTTCTATTTTTAAATGGCGTGAGAATCGTATAACTAAACTTGATTTACGGGTAGGTACTTTTTTGGTACTATTTTTTTTAAAAATGTTGGAATATGGATAAATTAGACGACCTGTTAAAAAGGTTAAATATGATTGTGTGAGAAAATAATATAATTAAATGTTCTCAGATTCTCATTATTTGTGCGAATGTTGAACTTGTTCATAAAATGGACACAAAAAGAACAATATCATAAAGATTTTTGATTTTTGATTTTTTAACTTTATTATAAAATAAAAAGAAATTCGATTTTTTTTATTTGTGTTCCTCGTTGATTAGGTTTTTATTTTTTGAATGTATTTGACAGCAACAGTAAATTAGCCAAAATTCCCCCAATCCCCCAATGGTTGTGATAATTATTATTTATTAAATAAAAATGCACCCCACAAAAGAACAATATGTTTTCA